AAACTAGTTGCTCTTGGAGTTATAGTAGATACTATAGGGTCCCATCATTGGTGGTTGATATTGAAGTCGCCAAGCAGGATTGCTGAGGGCAAGATAGAGGTGCTAAGGAGCTTTCTCTCTATTGTGGTAATGCCTTGTGTGTCTAGCTGGTTGTAGACATTGTAAATAGAGAAGGTTGTTCTAGAGCTCTTAACTGTGATAGCTAGGAAGTCAGGATCAGGACTAGTGTCTGCTAATATAGTGACTTGCGCTTGTATAGTGCGTGCAGAGTAGACTAAAACACGTAGTCTTGTGCTGTAGTCTTCTAACAAAGGAAGGATTTGTGTAAAGGAGGGGTGATTTACAGAGCGCGTGTCTAAGTAATTGTCGCAGCAGATATCATGCCTATTTACCAGCCAATTCAGGGGTGCAAATGTATCTACATTTTGCCTCTATTTTAGCTGCAACAGTTATAAGCCTAGACGCTAAAACTACGCAAGCAAAGATTAAATAGATTTTTGTGTTCTATAGGTGACTATAGCTAAGGGTCTTAGTATAGTACCTGCTCTATTGGCGTGCTATCTACAGTAATAGAGTATCGCGAAGAAGGATTTATCTATTACTTAGCACATTAGGCATTCTACTGCGTTGTGTTACCTCTAATTATGCTGTCCTAGTTAGATGTAAGGGGGTGTGTCGCAGCAGATATCATGCCTATTTACCAGCCAATTCAGGGGTGCAAAGGTATGTACATTTTGCCTCTATTTTGGCTGCAACAGTAATCTAAAGAAGATTGTCTAGCAGGAATAAGCTAAGGCTCTTATACTAGTACTAAAAAATAAGGTAAAAAGGCTGTCTTAGTTTTACTATTCTTGCCTTAATATAGTTAGCAAGCAAGTTAGTTAGACAAGCAAGTTGGTCACCCCACTAACTTTGATTACCTACTCTATCTTAACACACAATGCCTCCACGCCGCGCTCCTCTCATGCAGTCAAATGAAGCAGATATTCAGCTTGCTCTCTTATCTATAGATTCTGCCCAAATTCAGAGTACGCGACGCGCTGCTACAGTCTTCAATATCCCAAAATTAACCCTAATTGACTGGCGCGCTAGAAAGCGCGCGCGACGCGATTGCCAGCCTAACTCAAGGAAGCTTACCTAGAGAGAAGAGGAGGTGATTGTCAGCTATATACTTCACCTAGATCAGCGTGGATTTGCGCCTACCTACGCAGCTGCACGTGATATGGCTGATAAGCTGCTGGCTGCACGCGGCGC